ATTCTTAGCAGCCAGGGCGCACTGCTGGCTCATTGTCAACCTCCTTAGTTTTGTTCCTAGAAACAGCAATAATAATAACGACGACAAAACCTAGGCAAGCTTAAGAATCAGAAAGCTATTCCTAGATTTGCTTTAAATTCCAAGAACTGAATTAAGTCTCACATGAGAGGAAAAAAAAAAAAGCTTTGGTGTTTTAAGGTCTTAAAGGACGTCTTTGGTCTTAAGGGACAGAACAATTAACAACAACAAAAAATTAAGATGCATTCTTCTATATGGAAATCAAACTATTCCAGAAATAGGCCAGTCCTAGACCTCAATGAAACAGAAAATAAATCAAATACTACACTATTTTTACAAGGCTCACATGCTGCATTAATGCACAGAAGCATACAGGCAATACACAAGCTGGTTTAACATGCAAGCCAGCTCCACCGTACAATACAGAGGAGCAGTGAGATCTTGTGGGTCCATACACACGGTGCTACGTCGTTACGTGAACATCCTACTTACGCGGCTGCCCACTGCAAAACATCACGAGGCTGAGTCCTAACAGCAGCTTTGGTAAATTGCTTCAGGATATCGGGTAGCTCAGGGGGGATTTTGATCTGCTGAGCACAAAACATGGTTTCTGGAAGAGGCATGGTCTGTTCACGTTCAGGACCTGGAAGAAATAGTAATAAGAGCAGTTCACAGATGCAGAATGTGAATGAAAAACTGCGTGTGCATATAAGGGGGAACAACGCTCACACCCAAGCTCCCTCCCGTGCTACTCGACTGCTGGGGCTGCTGCAGAACTGACAAACTCAAGAGCACTGCGAGTCTCTAAAAACCTTGAAATCCATGGCAACATCAAGCAAATGACTGGAGCTTGGACACCAACCACAGCTCCGGGTAAGGAGAACTACTACTTCAACTGGCATCTTTAGATAGTTTTAAACTGGTTTTTCTCCTCCAACCTACCACAACACGAATTTGCAAAGCAGGCAGCCCGGACAAATCACACCACCCTTGCCAAGGTGAAAGCTAGCTGTGTTGACAACTCACTACTGCAAGCCAAGGAGAACCCTATCATTTTCATACAGAAGTGAGAGTGTGTAGATTGCAGAGTTTCTCGTATGCTTACACATCAAAAAAACCCTGCAGCAAAAAGTTACTAATTTGTGCTCCTGCCAGGCTTTACATCAAAAAATTACAGCGATGAACAACACACTTGCATATACTGCAACTAAGCACTGCACTTTGCTCGCACAGCTCTACAGGTCTTATTTAGGATGTAACTCACTTGCTGCAAGGAATCTTGTTCCCCAGGATCCCAAAGAAGGGACAGATACAGGCTATTTTACGGCCCTTATCCTATTATAGCATCTGAGTGCATTTGGTGGGAAATCTGGGCACTCCTCTCATCACTTAATGGACAAACTACAGCCTACTTCAGTTGGTTCAGCAACAAGAGCTGAAAACGCGTCAGCTCCTTGCACAAGGGAAGAACTGAAAGCAGCGGCATCAAGAAAGGAATCAATGTAACACCATCCTTTACCCCTTTAGATTTTTTTAAGACGAAAATAAGAGTATCTGGCAGGGTGCTTTCTCCCCCTATCACGTGAATTTTCCTCTACTGGAAAAAGAATTTAAAGTCAGCGATAGAGGAGTAGGACCGCTGTGACTCCAGGCTCCTCTGAAGATTCACCCATACTCAGAACTTTGCTTCTGGAGAAACGCAGACGGGGTGCAGCGTCTTCATTACTCCAGCACAGCAAATCTGCATCAGGGGCAGACTTCAGGGCGCGCATTTAATTACCTGGCTGGTCACGCACTTTCAGCGATGATTCAAAACCGCAGCTCCAGCCAAGGGTCTGAACCCAAAGGCAAAAAGTTGGGGATTTGAGGATAAGCTAGAAAACAGAAAAGCCTTGAGGACAGTGCGCGTGTGCCCTTGGGAAGCAGCCAAAGAAAA